GTTATATAACCTTGAAAATGAGTATAGGTCATGTAATAGCGCGGGTACGTGGTAGATAATTGGAAACAAAAATACCCAATATATGATATTTACTTGCAGATAATAAAACAAAAATTTTGCAAAAAAACCTCTAATTGGTTAGAACTTGCAGAACTATAATAGATTTTCTCTGCCTCAAAAACCGTTCTGTTTTCGAAACAAATGAGAATTAGATGTGAGAGAGAAGATGAATAATGGGTAGCATAGCAACACCCAAACTTAACTAAAACGGCCACTATATGCTAAAGGCTAATTAATAGAATACAAATTGATGGAATGTCATTTTCAGATGAGGTATGTCCAATCCACATCCAACTTATTTCTATTTTCAACTTTAAACCCCTAAAATAGAGAATGCTACTTTTGTTCTATATTTGGAGGAAGAAATTTTTTTGTCTGATTCTAAATTAATCTTAAAATAGAGAAAGAAATAGCATTTCTCTAAAATTTAGAGATATATTGGAGAAAACAAATGGAATAATGCTATTTTTTTTACTTTATTTTAAAGTAGAAATAGGGAAATACATCGGAAATGATCTCATATAAATTTTCTTCGTTTCAAAATATAAATTGTTTTGGTTCAAAACACGGAGATTAAGCCAAAAAAAAATAGAGAAAAAGGAATTACTTTGAGAATTTTTGAGAATTGTCACTTTTGAGATGCCACTTTTCAATAATACAGTCATTTTTTTTTCAAAAATGTAACTAATAATATATCAATTACTCAAAATATCATTTATCTTTAGGTTAACTTATATTCGGGTTTTGTTTTTGGGGTTTAGGGTTTGTTAGAGTTAAAAAAAATTAATTTTTTATGGTTTAAAGCTTAAAAATTAGATAATATGTAACATTTTAAAAAATTGACAACTCAAATTGACATTTTTGCAAAATTATATTTCAAAAATAGCATTTTTGAAATTTTCCCACTTACTTTTCTTTCAAAACATATCATCTTATTATATAAAGGAGGATGCGCACGATGAGAACGCGACACGTAATCAAAATTTTAATGTACCAGATCGTGACATTTGTCTAGTGTTGATCAGATGATGCATGTGTTAACACTTAAAATTAATTAATGTATATATATATAAATAAAAATGGACGTGAGTACAAGGATTGGTGAGGAAACACAGCAAGCGATTCGAGTATTAAATAACCATCGGTATCAAGTTGATGGGTCTTGAAAGGATACTGACACAACCACAGGTTCGGGACGAGTACTTTCAAGGAGATCTTCCTGTACTTTTAGGGGCAAAAGGTCTAATTCGCAGGAGA